TACGGGCAGGGTCTGTGGGTCCCCCAGGGGAAGGAATCAGCCACCTGCCTGGAGGATGCTGGAGAGATGAAGGTGAGGAAGAGGAGCAGGCCAGTGCGCTCCAAGGCCAGGAGGATGGCTGCCAACGTCAGAGAGCGCAAGAGGATCCTGGACTACAACCAAGCCTTCAACGCCCTGCGGCTGGCCCTCAAGCACGACCTCGGTGGCAAAAGGCTTTCCAAAATCGCTACCCTCCGGCGAGCCATCAACAGGATCACAGCTCTGTCCCTGTCCCTGCACGGCGCTGGGCACTGCTGGCCCTGTGCCCACTCTGAGTGTCACAGCTGGGCTGGGGTCCCTGCACGAGAGCCGGGAGTGAAGGCCAGCCCCCTCCAGCTCCCCTGGGAGCCCAGCTCTGCAGGTGCTGCCGGCTTGCAGTGCTGCTCTCCAACCCCTCTCTACGATGAGTTTCCCCCCGAGAGGCAGCTCCAGCTCTACAAGAGCCCGAAGGAGGATCGCTCCATGCCCAGCCCTGCTTTCTGCTCCAGCGGGATCCCCCAGCCCGGGCTCCGGGGGCAGCAGAGATACACGGGCAGCCTGCGGGACCCCCTGGCCGGGACGGTCCCCTGGCAACTGGGCTATTGCCAGAGCTGGGGACACCAGCAGTGCCTCCCCATCCACTGACCTGCTGGGAAGGTAACGCATCCGCGGGACACACGGGAGGAGCAGGAAGGGACTTTTGCATGAGAGAGAAGGGCTGTGGGACACAGAGCTCAGCTGCAAGAGCCGTGAGCCCCCGACACACCGTACGGGACCCCAGGGCTGCCCAGCTGAGGGTCTCCACTCTGCAGGAAAACTGGGGAAGGGAGAGAGTCCTCTGGAAGCATTTCTTGTTGCCAGGTCTCGCTGTTGCCGATTGTCACTGTTATTTATTCTCTCTTGCTTGCTCTGTGAGAAAACATGACTTAAAAACCCAACACCAGGGCAGTGGCTGTTCATATGTGTGGGGTGGACAGATGGGCCGTGGGGATCACGCTAAAGCCCTTGGCTGGATGGTCGCTCTGGCTCCTGCCAGTGAAGGAGGGGAGCAGCCGCGGGGATGGGTTTGTGCCCTGGGACTTTTGCTGTTAAGCTCATTGGTGCAGACGTTTGTACCCAGCAGATTTGTGAGGCCAGGACAGGAGGGGAGACAGATGTCAGCTTTTGTAAACCCACCCATCCGTTTGCGGTTTCCTCTTGATCGTGGCAAAGCAGCTCTGGTGGGACTGGCTGATAGTCTGCTCCCAGTCAGTCCCAGTGGCAGGGAAAAAGGGGAATTTTACCTGAAAGGCCCCTTTGGCCTCTTCCCTCCAGCTCAGAGATCTCGGACCAGCTGGGAGGGCTCCCTTCTGCCCAGGGCTCAGCAAACTGGAATTGCTCCAGGAATTAGACAGGGTTTTACTGCCACACACATGGCAACCGGCAGATTTTTGGACAGGGTGAATTGCACTTGTGATTTCCGCAGTGCTGAGCCCCTGCAGAGCTCCTCCAGCCCTTCCACTCCCGCCCCAGTGCTCCCAGCCAAGCCCCAGCACTGGCTGCCAATACACCAAACTCTTCCTCTGCCAGAGGGGCACATCCTGGAAAAATTATCTCCAACCTCCCCTCTGGAGTGCCAAACCCTTCCCAGGGTCTCCTCCTCCTCCCTTAATCCCCGAGTGGGACAAGGGAGCTGGGAATGAGGAGAGGAAAGCTAGCAGCAGCCAGGAGAGAGAGCTCTTTGCTCAGCAAAGGAGCCTTTTTAAAGCTCTGATGGTGTGAGGCATCTTGGCTTTCATCTCCAACAGATGTTCCCCCTGCCAGGAGAAGGCCTGCAGCAATGTCCGCTGAAGGAATCCTGCTTCTCCCAGCAGGATCCCTGCGCCAGGCAGCTTTTCCTGCTCTGGCTCTCCCTGGAGCAGCACATGCCCCTGCTCTGCCCCGTTAGCATCCATCACAGGGGAGCAAGAGCCCAGCAACATCAGAATTCAAAGAAGGTTTCCGTGAAACCCAGCCCTAAACCAGACACAAACCCCTCCCTCTGCCCAAATTTGCATCTCCAGGTTTTCAGCTTTGGTGCTCAGTCAGGGCGAGGCAGATGGAAGCAGATGGTCAGAGACGCAGCAGAACCGGGGGAAGCATAACCCTGCGAGACCCCCCCAAAGCAGAGTCACCTCATCAATCTCAGGTTCACATCCACAAAATGGGGGGTCCTAATTCTGCCCAGAGGCTGTGGGATGGGATAAATCCCAGAGGACAAGCAGGGGGGCAGCAACCTGGCAGGCTCCAGCTGTCAGCAAGCTCCTGGAGCACCTCTGGGAGAGGCAGAAGGTGCTGGGTGTGGCCTGTGAATGGCACCCACTGCCAGGGAAACCCCTGACAGACCTGGAATGGAAGAACAATTTGGAATGGGTGGGAAACAACCCCCTTTGCCAGGCCTCCAGGCTCTGGGGTTTCTTTTAGTCCTCCCTCCGGCCCCTCACAGTACCCCGGCTCCTAAGGGTGCTGTTATCTGCTGTACAGGACATAACCCACCCCTGTGCCTTTCTCCTTTGCAGGTCCTACATAGGGACACAGTAGCTGTCACTAATCTGCTATCCCTGTCCCCACCTGCTCCAGGGTCACCCACACCTGATGAGGGCAGGGTGAGCTCCACGCAGTGTGACCAGGGCCTGCTCTCACTGTGTGCCAGGGGAGATGCTTTCTCAGACCAGCTGGAGCCAGGGGCACCGCCAGGCACCCGCACACCACCCAGGCCACCTCACACCTCCAGGGAGCCCCTGCCTGCTCACAGCCCTGCACCCACACAGGGCAGCCCAAGCTCCTCTCCGGTAGCGATGAGGGGTTCGTGGGTCTGGTCTGTGTCGCATGTCCCCCGCCTCCCTGGGGAAAAGGTTCAGCCAGGAGAGCCGCAGGGGCAGTGGGGCTGTGTGTACCGGCCCCCATCACAACCTGCCCTCGGCATCCCCCGGTTCCTC